TAAAATTAAAATTTATGGCGGTCTCCGCATCTCCGCATATGAGGAGCAACTTGTTCATGAGCTCCGCATTATGCGGACTGATGAAAGGATATGTGTTCACCTTTAAGTTGGGGCAATTTTGAAATTGACTTAACTAAGAAATTGATCTCTGGATTCCTGAATTGTGGAGTTCTGTAAGTAAGTAAAAGAAGATAAAAATTATAATTATAAGTACAGAAGAGCTCATTTTTGTGTCAATTAAATTGTTTTTTTTTTTGCTTCTTTATTCCTAAATTATGTTCCTAATTTTTCCTTTACCACATCCGGGCATACTTCCAAACTGCTTTAGATGAGCAAAATGAGAACCGTACACATGTTGAGACAACTGTGTGAATATTGCTCATTAAAAAGGTGGAATTGGAAATCTTTTTCCATTTTCTAGGGAAAAAGTAACCAATCAAACACAACCTTAGAAAGTTCAAAACTCTTGTCAAATACACATTCTTGTTCATCGGTCAAGTCTCTAACATGTGCTTTTTCATTGAATTATGAAATTTCTTTGATCGATTTCCGATTTTCCATGTCTCCACTTTCTTAAAATGATTATTGGAAACAGCTAATCTGCCATTACTTTCAACCTGCGTAAACCAAACAAGAAGAAATATTAAATTGAGCAACATGCTTTATAACTTGAGATGGTATCTGAAACACGTGCAACTTACACAACGACAACCAGGTATTGCAGGTGGGCTGCCTCTGTCGAACTTACATACAGATATAATATGTTCCATTTTTCCTGGTTAAGAAAAAGGCAGATAAAAACTACTGCAGACGCTAACCATTATCATCTCTTGATTCAGTTGCTCCAGGTGAGTGATCTTTGTCTTCTCTTGCCTCAGTAGCTCCAGGTAAATCACCATTCTCTTGTCTAGACTCATTTGCTCCAGGTAAATCGACATTATCTTCCTTTACCTCAATTGCTCGAGGTACAATATTCTCTGGTCTATTTTCTTTGATAACTGCAAATATTTATACCAAACGAAAGTAATCAGAAAACAGCTAATAGAATGATGTGCAAACTGCTCATTTATGGCAACTAAAGAAGAAACGAGTACATCACCATACTCACTAATTTTGTGCAATTGGGGTTGCATTAGTTCTTATCCAGTGACATAACTTCAATGTAGCTTAGGTAGTAATGGACCAGGTCACATTGAACTGCAAAATTTGATAAATCCAGGACTCAACTCTTTGGATATACTAACCATGTATGTTAAAATTTTTGAATAATATAATAGTTTTTCTATGAAGATAAACAATATATATGGACAAGTCTTCAATAATATAGGAAGTAGAATGAACATTTGAGGTTGTCAAAATTCAAATATTTGCTACCTACGTGGATATGAAATGACAACGTGATTTGACATTTGATGCGGGTTTAGATATACAGAGTAACTTATGACTTACCTTCCTCTGCAGCATAGTGTTTAAGTAGCTCCTCAACAGATAGATCAATTTCATTTTGTAAAGCGGGCAGTTCTTCTCTCTCTTCTTTAGTTATAAGGCCCTCATCTTCTTCAATAGTATGCTCATTGTCTTCCTAAAGCAGGATCATCAACATACGGTGATACTTTATTTGATACTTTGTAAGCACAAAGTTAAAATGCTA